GCTCCAAAGAAACACTGGAAAGCACTTCTCATCCACTGGAACGACCAGTTAAACACATAAACATGACTAAACTAAAGCAGGTAAATATTCCCATGAGTATTCTGTACTTTGAAAAACCAAGTACGAGTCACTGACTCAATATGAGTATAAATAAAGTTAAAGGCAGTCCACTGTGTGCATTTAAAGTGTGAGGTCCTGTTTGCTGTGCCGGACTTTATATTGCTCATATTATGGCGTGTTTGGCATTGTTAAAAAGACTGTTTTTTACGGTCAGAAGATGTTGTTGTGGGCTGAGACATCTGCAGTCATGTTTTAAGTCTCATTTCTGCCAACGTCCAAAAACTTTGAACATTTTTTAGAACATCTTGTCAAAATGGCCAGATGTGCACCCCAGAAAACGGTGCTAGATCAGATTTTATGACAGATACAATTCATGTGGAAATGTGCAGTCAAATAATACGTCTTCATCAGGTGACTTTTCTTAAACTATGAAAAAACAAGTTTGATTTCATCCACTAGGATCCTCTGTTGAATCTCCTTTGTTCTCTCCTTGGTACTCCTCCTTTGCCCATCCACTCCTTCCCCATGTCTCCGCTCCTCAGAGGCACAGAGGGGGGATGAGGGCAGAGCAGAGGTAAAGGAGGAGCAGGAGAAAAGGAGGCTGCTGGCTGTCATGTCAAATCATCATCGGACTGCAGAGTCAACAGCACGCTGAGTGACACATCCCTTTTCTGCTCGCTCACTCTCTCGTCTTCTTCGTGTCTCTTTTAAGATCCTTTAAGGGGTCGGCGTTGGACCGCACTGTGTCTGCACGTGACAATTAACCCAGTCCCAGATGCTTTAGGCTTCAGAATAAAACAGCTACATTTCTTCTTTGCTCTTTAATGATCTGCAAACGAATGCGCTGCAGTGTTGGGCAGTGGAGCAGACGTTTCTTTTTAAACTGGACTTATTTTTCTCATTTCCAGCTCCTCATTTCAGAGTAGCTTTGCATGATCTTCTGTGGAAAGCAACCCATGTGAAATCGTTTTAGAATGAGCATGAGCATTTCTGGTGGGTCAATAGAAACTCTAAAAAATCATGCAGGGAAATTAAAAATCTTAACTGACACACAGCAGGGTCAGTGAGTTGGGATAAATGGGATCAGTTGTAGTCGGTTCCAGCTCTATATGTTCATGCTCTTGCTAATAGATTTGCTTTGCATGATTCACAGTTCAAAATGATCCTTATTTGATTACGCTGGGCCTCTGTGCAGCCCCTCAGTTTATCAGCTGTCTGAAATAAACTGTTTTAGCCCCTCCCACTTTAAGCCAACAGCTTTTTTAATTGGCTGTCCCGCATAAACAACAAGTTTAAACAACAGGTGGGTGGAGCTTTGTGAGATGATCAGATTATGGATGGTCTCACTTTGTGACATCATCCAGAGCTAAGAGCAAAAACACAAATAAAAATAAATCTGTGTTTAGAGCAATGTCCAACAATATTCAGTTATATCTGTTAAGATCCTATGAATGCAGCTTATTGAACAGTTGGCATGGAGTGAATGTTTAGCAGAGACTGTGATTTGGTCTGTGCAGAAATTCAGAGTTGTGTTATCAGTCTGTGAAGCAGCTTTCTTATGACTCTCCTACATAAAATAAAGCTGGTGTGTCACACTACTGCAGTAGTTACAAGGAGTAAAGTGCAGTTGCTGTTTATTGCTCTGCAAACACACTTGAAATGCTGTAAAACCAACCGTATCATCCGTCACTGCTGGACACTCCCCCAAAATGTCACATCAGGACAGCTTCTTCAGAAACAGAGCGCAGTTAAAAGATGAAGATTATTAGACTGTGGTTGTGCCAAGTCTGTTCAGGTACATTAAAAACTAGAAATTTCGTGCCCAGAAACAGAAATGTGAATTTTTTGTCCTGTCTTGCTCCCCTAACCCTAACTGCTGAGGATTCTTCCTGGTAAAAGGGAGTTTTTCCTTCCCACTGTCGCCAAGTGTTTGCTCATGGGGGTCATTTTTCAGTTTTCTACCTTTACTGCTGTTTACTGTTGATGCGATTTACTGCTATCTAAATAAAACTGAACTGCCTTGAATTAGTAAGTGAACACTTGTGAATATTTTACAGACTGCTGTGAGACTCTTATTATCACAGTACAGCCAAATATTTTTGACACTGCCCCCTTCTGACAGTCCGTAGCTTCCAGCGAGCTACCAATGAGCTGCCTCCACTGAGCTATCATTTCCCCTTAAAGTGGACCTCAGAGTAACTGCAGCTCTGCAGGTTTCCAGTTGTGCTGAAAGAAAAACTGCAGCCATAATGTACACACAGTAAAGATGCAGTGTGGACACAAAGGAGGAAATCCAGAGAAGATCCGAGCTTTTTGTGCATATTTTAAATTTAGG